CGGCACGGAAGAAGGCGCGAGCCTGGAAGCGCTCCCCGTGCTCATCCCTGAGCCAGGCCCGCAGGGTGACGAGCTGGGACGGGGACAGGCCCCGCACGTGCACCCGCACGGGGCAGTCAGCGAGGGATGAGCGTGGTGTCACCGTCACCTCCACCATGGTGCACCTGCGGGGATGGAGCAGCATCAGCACAGCTCGTCCTCCCTGCATCCCGCATCCCACCCCCGAGAGCCAGGGAATGGGCTGGGAAGGGAGCTCAAAGCTCCTCCAGCTCCAACCCCCTGCCCCGGGCAGGGACACCTTCCACTAGAGCAGGTTGCTCCAAGCCCCTGTGTCCAACCTGGCCTTGAACACTGCCAGGGATGGGGCAGCCACAGCTTCTCTGGGCCCCCTGTGCCAGCGCCTCAGCACCCTCCCAGGGAAGAGCTTCTGCCTTATCTCCAACCTGAACTTCCCCTGTTCCAGTTTGAACCCATCACCCCTTGTCCCATCACTCCAGTCCCTGATGAAGGTCCCTCTCCAGCATCCTTGTAGCCCCCTTCAGACCCTGGAAGCTGCTCTGAGGTCTCCAGCAGCTTCTCTTCTCCAGGCTGAACAGCCCCAATGTTCTCAGCCTGGCTCCACACAGGAGCTGCTCCATCCCCTGAGCATACTTGTGGCCTCCTCTGGCCTCGCTACAACACATCCATGTCCTCCTTATGCTGAGGACACCGGATCTGGATGCAGCATCCAAGCAGAGGGGCAGCATGACCTCCCTGACACCCCTCACACCCCCAACACTCACCCAGCAGCAGGGACACCCCTTTTGCCCCTCTCCCCCAGTCCCAGCACCCACTTTTCCCCCTCCCATCCTCTGCACCCCAAGACCATGGCCAAGGGGACAGGGGGGCACAGCCTATGGGCCCCCAACTCCCACCCAGACCCCATTCCCATGCAGAGCAGCCAGACAGGGACCCCAGCGAGGTGCTGGCACTATCCCAACCCTGGTAGGGGACACCACATACACCCCAATAGGAACAACAGCCCCCCAGAGCCACAGGGACGGGCTCCAAACCCCCCTTCAGCACCCTCACCTCTTACCCAGCCAGCAGGGCAAAGGCTAGGTGGAAGTCTGGGGAGGGAGTTGGTGGAAGAGGTTGGGCTCTTCCGTGCCTCGGGAATCATTCATTAACCAGGAAGGAATGAGGGCAAAGCCCTTCTGCCCCATGACCTGCTGGCAACCGCCCCATAGCACCAGTGCACCCCATAGCTCCTGCCTTCCTTGCGTCTGGAAGCCCTCAATGGGATCCCCATCCCAAATCCTGCTCAATGGGGCAACAAGAAGCTCTGCCCCACACATTGGGGTCCCCTCCATTGCCCCACCTGTGATGAACCCACCCTCATGCTTCGCTCTGCTCCACGCGGGACCAGGTCCCTGCTCATCCCAGGGCCACAAGCTCATGGTGTTCCCACCAGGATGAAGCTCCCGGGGCTGGGTACCACCACATGCTCCCATTCCAGAGGTTTATTCCCTTGGAACCTCGTGTTTGCCCACCCAGTGACACCCTCAGCCTCCCCCCCCGATGCAGGCTGGAGTCACCACCCTCAAGGGGGATGGAGAAGGGGGTGTTCATAGAGCAAGAAAAACCAGGGGTGTGAAGAGATCTGGGGGGGTTTCCCACCCCAAACCCCTTCCTGCCAGCCCCATATTCCCCTCCCATCCCATCAGTGCAGCAGAAACAAACCCTCTCCCTTTGGGATGGGCTCCAGGGCTCATTCCCAATGGGATGAGATCCCCTCTTTGAAGAATGGGAGCCTCAAGGGGCAACGGGCCACAGCACTGTGACCATAGAGATGTTCTTCTTTAGCACAAAGAAGACCCCAAGGTGACACCATCAGCCCCCCCCCAAGCCACTAGAGGTGATTTTGGGTCAGTTCCTATCCATTTTTATATAGAAAAGGCAGATTTGGGCATTTGAAGCCACTTTTCCAGCCCCAAACTGGCCTCCACAGGGCAGGATGGGACCCAGCAGCAGGTTCCTGTGGGTCATGGAGCTGCAGAACCCACCCCAGCTCTGTCCCACTGTGTGTCCAGCACTGAGAGCCCAACTCCTGCTCCCTGAGCTGCTGAGGAGCCCCTGGAGCATCTCGTGTATCCCATCTCCCATCTCATTCCGTGGCTGGTTTGCTCCTCACGGGTGTCTTCTGGAGCAGGGCCAGTGTGTCCCTCTTCTCCACCCGCCTCAGCTGCTTCTTCTTGGCTCGCTTCAGCTTCAGAGGGTTCCGGATCTGGGGGGAAGGAGGAGGAAAATGGGATTTCAGGATCCAGATCCCAGCTTCCCATCCTGCTTAGAGCAGCTCCAGGGCCTAAAGGGGCTCCAGGAAACCTGGAGAGGGGCTTTGGACAAGGGATGGAGGGACAGGACAAGGGCAATGGCTTGAACCTGCCAGAGGGGAGATTGAGATGAGCTCTGAGGCAGCAGCTCTTCCCTGGGAGGGTGCTGAGGTGCTGGCACAGGGTGCCCAGAGAAGCTGTGGCTGCCCCATCCCTGGCAGTGTTCAAGGCCACGTTGGACACAGGGGCTTGGAGCAACCTGCTCTAGTGGAAGGTGTCCCTGCCCGGGGCAGGGGTTGGAGCTGGAGGAGCTTTAAGGTCCCTTCATCCCAACCCATTCCCTGCCTCCGTGACCTCTAAAGCAGCACGCACAGCAGTAACCAAAGTCTGTACACGAAACCATCCAGCTCCTGATCAGATTCATCCTAAAATTCCTCCATGGGAATACCTCCACGTTCTCCCCCCCACCCCCCTGAGCTCCCGGGTCTCTTCCAGAAGGAAAAGCCACAACTTCCCCACTTGAAAACACCCCACGCTTGGATCCCCATCACTGTTCCCTTGGCTCTACCACCCTGTGTGCAGCCATCGCTGGGGTGGCCTCAGCTTGAAGCTGGACCCTCCACCTCACGCTGCAGGACACCAGCTCAGCAAAGGGGACCCCTCCTGGTGCAGGGATATCCCCAGTCCTCCCAGTGCTCCTCCCAAGGGATGCAGGGATAGGATCTGGAGCAAACAGGGCCCTGGATGCTGCCTGGGCACTCACCACTTGCACTATCTCCGCCTTCCGCTCATTCTCCAGCCGCCGCTTCATGTTCTCCTCCCGCCGCCGCTTCTTCTCCTGTGGGAACAGCACCAAATCATTCCCTGCAGATCCCTCCTTCCGGGCTCGATCCCGAAGCAGGGGCACCCACAGCTGCCAGCACTGCTCAGGAAGCTGCAGAGCTTCCAGCCAAGCATGAAACCTGCTGCACAAGCCAAGCAGCAGCTCCCCCCCACACCAGGCTTGAGCTGACAGTGGGTTTCTTCCGAGTCAGTGAATTCCATGCTGGAATTTGGCTCCACCACAGGGAATTTGCCATCCCAGCTGCTCACCAGAAGGGTCTGTGCTCACTGCAGGGCTCTGCCACGCTAATGCCACGGTACCACAGCCCCGGAGGCAGGCAGAGACGTGGGGTTATGGAAGGAGGGAGGTGGAAGGTCTCTGGTCATGGCCTGGCTCTGCAACGTGGTCCTGAGCTCATGTGAGCAGCGGGAGCAGGATGTCCCCTTTCACTGGTGCTGCTTGGTCAACCCAACAGCCTTTTACGATGACATGGCACGAGGGATGTTGTCCACCCTGACTTCAGAAGGCTTTTGGCACTGCCTCCCGCCACATCCTTGTATAAAAGCTTAGGAAGCGTGGGTCAGATGGACACTGAGGTGGGCTGAGAGCTGGCTCTGTGGCTCAGAGGGTTCTGATGAGTGGAGCCGAATCCACTTGGAGGCCTGTAGTGGTATTCCCAAGGGATCAGCACTGGGTCTGGTCTTCTTCCACTTATCAGTGGCCTGGATGAAGGGCTGGAGTGACCCCTCAGCAGGTTTGGTGCTGATACAGAGCTGGGGCAGTGGCTGATACACCTGGAGCTGCCCTTAAGGGGAGCTCCGTAGGAGAGAAACCTCATGAGGTTCAACGAGGGCAAGTGGAGGGTCCTGCGCTGGGGAGGAAGAGCCCCAAGAGCCAGCACAAGCTGGGGTGACCTTCAGCTGAGAGGACCTGGGGGTGCTGGTGGATGATGAGCGGACCATGAGGGACAGGGGTACCCTGGGGTGCACCAGGAGTGTGGCAGCAGGGCAGGGAGGTGATGCCCCCCCTGTTGAGGCCACATCTGGAGCTCTGTGTCCCACTACAAGAGACCAGGAGCTACTGGAGAGGGTCCAGAGGAGGCCACAGGGATGCTCAGGGGTCTGGAGCATCTCTTATGAGGAGAGATTGGACCTGTTTAGTCTGGAGAAGAGCAGCCTGAGGGGATCTTGTCCATGCAGATCCATACGTCAAGGAAGGTGCCAGGAGGATGGTGCCCAGTGACAGGACAGGGAGCAGCGGCCATAAACTGAACCACCACAAGTTTCACCTCAACATGAGGAAGAAATTCTTGATGTTGAGCG